AAAATGAATGAAAGATTTGATATATTTGTCTCATATTCACGCCCGCTTTATCCCAACTTCCACAAACCGACAATACTTATTTACTTAATTAGACTTTCATCTATATATGTAACTGGAAAGAGTTTGTTCAGCCGCTATACATTGCCAAAATATTTCATATATAGCTCTCAAATTTTATATGCACCACTGTTAGGAAGGTATTAATGTAAAAATACCTTTTATATTACCACCTAGGGAAAGCGGCTCTCTATCTGTTTTCTGTTAGGAAAAAATATTTTTAGAGTGAAAATTACCGTTTGTGACCATTCTGTATACGATTATATTTTATCATTTATTATCATTGACCGTATAACAAATATATTTATATGCTTTATAAAAGCAATTTCACAAAACAATTTTTACCAAAAATACGTTTCTTGCTACTATATTTCCACGTACAAAGTAACCTATAGATAAGAAGAAACCCCAAATCTAGGTAAATTTTCGTGATTTTATCTGATATCCTTTGTATAAGAAAACCGACTGGGATCCATTATGACGAAACTGTAAATGACGATGTTTATAGTGACCTCTTTTTACCAGATGGTGATGATCATAGACATTTTGAAGGGTTTTTTAATTATGTATGTGGGTGTCTTATTTTCTTTTATTCTGTAATGAAAAATAAATATTGTATGGCATCTTAAATGTTTTGTTGCTTAACACTGACAAAAAATACCGTATAATGTATGTTATTGAAAAATAAAGTTTGCATGTTATACTAAATATTGTTGTTATTTAACACCACAATGATAATGACTTTTAATTAGAAATATAGATTTTATGTTATCCTAAATATTATTATTTAGCACTGCTGTGAGAAATAATGATTGGGTATGAATGCATCCATTGCACTTCAAGTCAAGAACCAAAGATTTGTTTGCGTTACTTGTGCGTATTTCTCAGCGGAACCTTTGCAAATTATTGCTTAATCGTCTCTTAAATATTACATTTTAATGCGAAGAACTAAATGTATTTCTATTTCATTTACAACTGCAGTATAGTATTATAATGATAACGGTTTCAACTAGAAATATGTATATCGGTATTTACCATACATACCGAGACAGTTGTTAGCCTATCGCGATAAAGAACATAAGTAGAGTAAACAACTTACTAGTGCCGATACCTAACAGGGTTTAAGGTTAGCTTTTGGTAACTGTTATATTAGCCGACACCCTAATTTTTGGTACAATTTTTAACCTTTAAATGCAGCCTTATACGCGGAAACATACGGTATTCATATCTCTTCTTTATAATCTATCTAGGACGAAATGACATCAGTTTTCTCCTTTATGCTAGATTTTGTGTACATATTTAGTGGCCGTAAAAAATAACGAATGAAAAGTTGTGTTTATAACAATCAAGAAGAGAAAAATCGTTCAAAATAACTAGCATACAATAACCTTAACCTTTATCTGAGCTCAATTTCGACCTAAAAATGTCAGTCCGATTAAAAGAGAAAATAATTTAATAAGTAGCAAATGCATTGAAAATGCGCAGACCTCACAGCTCTCTATGGTCAACTTAATAGGATATCCCGCATCATCGTCAAAATAATAACAATACAATACTGCCTACTGACGTATAGTACTAAAAATCAGTATCTACTCAAAATGGTATAAATTTAAAATCCAGCGGGCGTTAGTGACTTCAGTAGGAAAAAACATAAACTATCTCCTGCAATGATCAATAAATATCGTCTCACTCAAGGTTGTGTCTCTCATTCTAATCAAAAGGTGTCAAATCTATGGAGCGTGACTGAAACAGTTTTCCACTTTTGTCTCATTGTCTTCGCATAATAATCTTTATATAATATCCATTTTCTTTCTTTATACAATTTAACAATATGAATAGTTCTTTTTCGCTGAAAAGAGGAAATGTTGCTTAGTGTAAAAAATCACAATAAATTCACCATGCAGCAGATATTGTTTTTTTTAATATGGAATAAATATGGCGGCTTATTAAGAAATTGAAAAGAAAAAGAAACGCGTACTTGAGATGTGACGTCAAGTAACTCAGTCTTAAATAACCAAGTCACACAAAAAACTACAAGAATGATAAACTTTGGGAAAATAACGAGAAATATTAAAAGTATGTTACAGAATACTAAAAAGCGATTTTTTTCTGCTCAGATTGTTCTATTTGATACGGCATTATCATTTAAGAAAAAAAGTTATTTCTTCTTTGAAAACAGATAGGAAAAAGCTTATCTTGAAGCATTTGTTTGATCTTTATCTTTCGATACATAAAAAAGAGAGTTATCTAACACGGTGTTAACATCTCTTTAGAAGCACTGCACACACACACATAAAACACACACACACATATATATATATATATATATATATATATATATATATATATATATATATATATATATATATATATATATATATATATATATGGTGATATCTGTAAAAAAATAATTGATAGATTACAAAAGTTTTGGGGCACCAAGATAAATATCTTTTATTTGTAGTAAGTGGTAAGTGAGGATATTGTTCGCTTATCTATCTCTCTCCTCTCTCTCCTCTCTCTCTCTATATATATATATATATATATATATATATATATATATATATATATATATATATATATATATATATACTAATCGACTTGTGTGTCTAGATAAATTCCATCCTACAACCGCTTTTCCAAGAGACAAATCGTCGCAAGTCGCTAACTCTATTATCTTCCACCCATCTTCCTATAAACTGTACCTTTTAATCTCCATCCCACTACCTCGTGTGGCTCTTGAGCGTTGTACAGTATTAAAAGCATTTTTTAAAAAATACAAAGATTAAGACGAAACCTTCATCTTGGATATATTTCCGACCTTGAGCCATTTGAATAATCTCTTATTTTTGTTAAGTTTATTATAAAAGTTATAAATATGATTTAAAATTATATAAAGCAACCATTGTTTTATTTTACTGTAAAACTATAGGTATTCTAGTGATTCATAATTTCCGAAATATATGTAAATATTTTTTCCAGCTGGGAGAATACTTGGGGTTAGTGATGATATTCACTAACCGCCCCACGCGGTCGGATGTGGCACAAGGCCGAGTTTATTGTGGGGTATCCGAGTCCATAGGCTCGGGCAAAAATTCCCTCTAGACCCCGTAATAACACGAGACTCTGCCATTTGGCATAGCCTCGTCTGGGTTCCTCTCAGAGGCAGAGAGTTTGACAAGCACACCTCCGAAGTAATCCAGATAGAAAATCATATTAATTAAAACCTGCTGGAAACTTACAATTTCATGAGCCGGCATATTCTTCATTATGTACTATGTACTTTCAGGATGTGGGCGGTCATGATTCTCCTCTACTTCCTATTCTCTGTTGCTCTAAGTAACGTTTGCCCCCTTACTATTGCCTTCAGTCACAGTCCTGTTATCCATTTACGCAATCTCATTACGTAGGTCAGTAAATGTTTCCCTCTGCCCTTGCTTTCAGTACGCCCTCTGTGTGTCTTATTTTCCAAACACTTTTTCTCATTATTTGTTGCAGACATTTCAACTGTTTTTTTATTATGTAAACGAGTTCTTTTTGTTTCCATTTTCCTTAAAACTCTCACGTTGCTAACAATTTCCATTCATAATATTCTCAGCAACATTCTATACCCCTACATCTCTGCAGCCTGAACCCTCCACTTCATCTCTGAGGAAATGGTCAATCATTCACTGCCATATAGGAGGATTGATCTTGTCTTTGTTTCTAATGAAACTGTCCTGTTTGTTAATAATTGTTTAGCTTTTAGAAAGCACATTTGGCTATTCCGAGATGTACCTTCAGACTTCTTTTACGTGCCGTGTCCTCTCAGGACGTGGATGTTCCTGGTTCTCTATAATCTCCTATATCTTGTAGTCCTTAGAAGCACGCATCCCTTTACCCCACCCCCGTCCCCATTCTAACAGCTATTCATAAAAAGTAGTCGCTGCTAGCCCCTATCCTTTTTCCTCTCGATATGCCATGTGAGTGTCAAATTCTCCTAGCTTTCCTTCCCTAATATTGTAAAATTAGAAACAGAAGGAAGAAGATATAAATAAATATCGACAGAGAGAAACAAAATTAAAAGGCACAACATGAAAAAAGAAGGTAAAATGGTGAAGGTTGGAATATCGTTTGAGAGAAGAAAGGAAAAATGGGACAGAAAAAAAAGAATAATTTCTAAAGAATATAATTGTGTACGGCAAAATCCGTGCAAATCCAAGATACGAGAAATGTGGCAAATATTCAAAAATATTCATGATGAACTTTGGCCTTACGCTTATATTAAACTGTTAGCGCACAAAGCTTATCCGACCATGGAGACATACTGTGACTTGTTGGAAGTTTCAGAACCGAATAATGGCCATTAGTGTCATGATTAGAAAATCGTGATAATCAAGTTAACGACCCTTTAATTATCGTCGCTTTCAGCTTGTGCAATTTAGAGCAAGAACAGAAGTCCTTTATTATTTGCACAATCTGAGGAGAATTAGAAAAATTTAATCGGGCAATTCGCACAAGAATATGTATATAATAGTTTGGATATATGTCAACAAACAAAACCAAATTCGCATATCTATCCATCTATCTCCCCCTCTCTCTCTCTCTATATATATATATATATATATATATATATATATATATATATGAATTTATATATATATATATATATATATATATATATATATATATATATAAATTTATATATATAGTCATATATATATATATATATATAAAAGTTCATGGAAACAAAAACATTCGTTTCATCATGCCAAATGGATAAGATTATAAATGCGATCTTTTTTATTAAGTTTTGCTTATTCTGGGACAGGACCACAAAATTCCTAAGGGGTCACCCGAGAGAGTACTGGCTAGGTTCGATGCTGCTTACCTTCGATAATCAGATAACAGAGTAATTTTAACAGTACCTCCCTCGACTTAATATGACGTAAACCGAAAACAGTATGCTTACCCCGGGAATTGAACACACGACACAAGCGAAACAGCCTACGTGTCCGGTTTGCTCACTATCTTACTATAGTAGAGACTCAAACTAGACGGTTTGAGATTTTCTGGAATTTTCCAAAAGCTGTTCAGCTTAGGAAAAAATGTCAAGAAGAGCGAGGCACTCATTCAATGCTAATCAAACTGGATATACATGATCAACATGTCCATATGGCTCAATGCAGTGCGAAACAAAATGGCTCTTGAATGTTTTTTACAACTTTACCTATAACCTCCGAACTTAAAATATTTGAAATGAGGCGAATATATAACAGAGTAAGAAATTGCCTTACAAATGTTTATAGTTCATTTTATAACGCCCAAATATAGCATAGTAAAGCAGACTATTTTCCAATGCAACCACTTTTTCAATTCATTACGTTTTCACAACATCGCCCATGTGACGACGACGTGATCATATTTAAACCGAACGCTGATCTTATAAAAGATTTCAGTTATCTGTTTGGATTGGTCTTGCTTTTATGTCCAGCGTCTTTTTCATGTTGAATTGAATATGGTCTATGTTAATTATGTTTTATGAATATGTCCTGAAGATGGTCTATTAGACCGAAACGTCCGACGTTGACATTATATTAACATTAAAACAGCATAATTGCATATTAGGATTTTTGTTTGTTTTCCGTATATTTTCTTCATACTGTCGGATCTATATCCATATATATATATATATATATATATATATATATATATATATATATATATATATATATATATATATATATATATATGTGTATGTGTGTGTGTGTGTGTGTGTGTATGTGTGTGTGTGTGTATGAGAGAGAGAGAGAGAAAAGAGAGAATTTAATATAAAGAATGAGAAAATACATATGTTATTTTTCACGAAATAGAATGAAATTATATTAATGCTAGTTTGTGTATATTGTATGGTTAATTCTTCTATCATTTGTAATTGTTTTTCTTTAATAATTTCCTTGTTTTCTAATAGAATTTGGGTAAAAGAAAATACCTTATGCATACGTGTATCTCTGTGTGTTTGTGAGTAAATATAACTGTGTGCATGTTATACGTGTGCATATTATTTTCATAGGAGTTTTACACGGCATGAGCCTACATTAAGTCTATTTTTTTTTGTTTTGTTTTGTTTTTGTTTTTTTGTGGGCGGGGGACTCCGAATAATTGCATATCTTCTACTAGACTCAATTATTTGTTTCTTCTCTTATCATTTTCAAAGACTCTCTTTAAGAAGTCCTATTAGATTTGGTGCATCCGCACTTTTCAAGACTCCTCAAAGGACATTATTTAAAAGGAAAAAAATATCAAAAATTGCACTTTTCTACTGAAGAGATAAAACAGACCCGATATGACGTCATTGACATAATGGTCTCTTGACTCGAAAGTCATCAAGTGGACCCAAAGAATATTGACAGTTTTGATATTTTCCCTTGTTGTATCAGCAACATGAAATGGTGCTTTAATGTCATTATCTACAGTAGGTCTGCTTTTGTAACAGCATTCTATCATCGAGTATGTTTTCTTTCTTGGGTTCATTTTGCTTCATGTTGCTGATGTTACCGCTGTTAGCAGTCCGACATCGTCCAGTTTTTCTCTCTTTTCCGTGCAGTCATCTGCTGATCTCAATTCTCGCTTCGCGCTCACGTTTTCATTCTTTCACTCGCAATTTCACAACGCCACTCGATTCCGAAGTCGAGTTCTCTATTGATTTGTGTTTCGATCGAGAGAAGGATATTATTAGACAGCGGGTGTGATGAATTTCGTGGCAGAAAGGAGGGGAGGTAATACGTGTAGAATGAAGGAATTAGGAAAATGAATGAGAAGTCCATTGGCAAAAAAAAAAAAAAAATCAGCGAATGAAAGCTGGAGCAAATATGCAAAACAGGGAGAGAAAAATCATAAGAAAAAGAAATGAAAACAAACAAAAAATAATATGACAAAAATTGGGTACGACGAAAAAACAGGAAAGAAAGATTTAGTCCAAAAAATGTTTAGGTTTGTCGTAGGTGGAAGAAACACAAGGTATCACCATTACTCTTCGCCTAACAACGTACTACTCCTACGCATCTTTTATATTAGCATTTTCCTGAACCACCTCATTATGGCGTTTCCCCTCATACTTGTCTATTTATACAATTAAGGCTTCTTAACTGCAACCTTGAAGAATTAAAAAATATCAGTCGACATTTTTAGTAAAGATTTTCCAATACACCAGCCATTGAAAATTAAAGCATAAAAGTCCTGACATGAAGTAAAAGCCAGAATAATACAACTGAAAGCATTCAACCTATAAAAATCAGTATGTACACCAAAGCAAAAACAAATAATATTTATAAAGTCCATTTTAGGATTTAATATATTAAATAATTCATTTTTTAACATAATTTTTTTCATATGTCCTTTCATTAATTAGGGGATTATTGCTCTCCACAAATTCTTTTACTTTATTGTTGAAGCATACCAACAGACGATGCTGGGTATGTTCCCATTCACATAAATATATTAGTAAATACTGTATGTTGGTCTGAAGTTGGAGATTCGTCTCCAACTGTGCTGGACAAACTCTCTGACTCCGAGCAGAGAGGATCCCCAGACGAGGCTATGTTGAAGGACAAAGTCTCGTCTCATGAAACGGCTACCCGACCCCGTTTAATACGGGGTCTACAGGGAATTTTTGGCCGAGCTTACGGGCTAAGATACCCCACATTAAATTCGACTTGTGCCACATCTGACCACGTGGGGTGGTTGGTAGATATCCTGCAGTTGGAGATTCATTGTGGAATTCACTTGACTCACTTCTAGATGTTGACTACTACTCCTACGCGCCGCTGGCGAATCTTATATGTGTTGTTCTTGTCCTAAGTATTATCATTCATTACCAACCTTCGTTTGATTATTCTATTCAGTAACCTTCCCTAAGTTACAACATTTATTATCTATGGATTGCTATAGTTTCTTTGATAAATGTTTTGATATTTTGCGGGATTGTGTCCATTAACACAATTATATTTGTCTTATATTTTTACTTCCTAAGTGGGTAATTATGTTATTCTTCCCTTATATACACTATTCGGCCAGTTACTAAAACAATCAATTCATATTAGTTTCTGTCATGGCTGACTTAACGTTTTTTTTTTTGTTTTTTGTTTTTTATACGTTGGTTGCTACGAAAGAGAATAAAAACTCTCTTATAATTGTGTTGGCCAACGTCATAGGTCCGTTTCTTTGGCGTAGAGGCTGCACCTTCCCACCAATAACCCATGCATTTTTCTTCTTACGAATAGCAGATTGGCAAAAATGAGATCTTGCATAAAATTATGTACTAACTGCTCTAACATAGAAAAGGTTACTGAATGAGGAATAAACAAAACAGAGGTTGGAAATGAAATTGTAATCTTTATAACATCAACAAAATACAATACTCGCCAGCGGCGTGAAGTAGGTAAACCACTGCTAGTGGTAGACTATTTAAACATTATATTACCCCCACTTACAATAGTATCTAACAAATTTATGAGGATTGGGACATATCCATTAGTGTTAATAGGTACAGTATATAGAAGAACTATGTTCCTTCATGGTTAAAATATTTTAATGATTGACAAACATAGGGGCTTCTTAAATTTTCACATAGATCAAATAGTGGAATCTGAGTACAGACAGGCCGTCGATAATACATTTCACAATGGCGACAAAATTGTGAGTGACAAACCTTCTTCCACGTACTGTCAACACGCCTCGAAATAAAAATATTATGATTGCTATGTGGGAAAATAATGTCTCTTTACCAAACAGTAAAAATATCTTCCATGTACCTGTTGCAATTTCCGTAAAGATTAATAAGCGATTGGCTTAATGTTTTGAAAATCTACATTCATTTACTTACGCAACAAGATTTTATTAAAACTGTCTCAACCATCTTTCAATAAGAATGTAAACAATATTTTTAAAAGCTACAAAAATATTTTGAAATAAAGTTTTAATTTCGAAGTTAACTCGTCCATGCTGCGTCTCCTAAATCAACATAACCCGACAAGTGTTAAATCAGGTTTAATGCGGGCAGGAAATGCATTGATATTCACATTTGTCAAAACTCCGACCTTCTGGCTTTGATAAAATTTACGATGACAGTACTCAACATGCGTCAGATAAAATTCCAATTAAAATTCAGTCGAGAAATGCGCAGTGAATTAATGTTAGCTATTCGGTTTTTCTGTACGCCGATAACATTACTTCTCTTATGCGCCGTCTTCGTTCAGGAGTTGTGCGAATATGGCTCTCCACAGCTTCTTATCCTTCTTAGCTCTTAAAATATTTGTCTCTTTTGTCATCCCTCCTAATCTCCGTTCTGCCACTAATTCATTCTACTTATCAAGTAAATGACATGCTGCTCCCCTGCTCTGTTTGATTTCGTTATGACTTGTGAGTGTCGAATTTTACAAACCCACCTTCCTCATTGTGAGTCTCATAAATTTCAGTTGTCTTTTTCTGATTTTACATATGAGTCTTCTTTTTGTTTCTGTTTTTCTTAAAATGCCGTTTCACGTAAAGTAATTCTTATTAAAATAAAAAGACGCAAAAAAAATGAATTTATCGTATTTCTTGTTCAAATAAAATTATAGTTTTCTCGAAGCCTAGAACGTTGGCAAAGAAAGTATTAAAGTTCTTTATTAAGTTATTTTGAAATTTAAATTAAGTTAAAAAATAAATTAAAATGGCGAAAATTAAAAAAGATGATGAATAAGTTTTTTGGTTTTTTTTTTAAATATACAAAAAAGAGGCGATAATTCAAAAAATGCAGAAGGCGGTAAAGAAAGAAGGAATGAAGCCAATTTGTAATAAATGAAAGATTTTACGATGGGTGTAAAAATGAGGTGTAAAAAAAGAGAAATAAATGGAAGTGTAACACAAGGTTTGAAGGAAAATATAATGATCGGAAGTGAGAAAAAAATAAAACATGGGCAGAATTAATCATAAATGAATGTGATAGACGTTGACAGAAAGAAAAGATTTTAAAATACACGGAGAGAATTAAAAAAAAAGAAAGAGACATAGATGGAAACGAGAGAAGAGATAAAAAAACATATTAAAGAGGAAGGGAAAACAAAAAAGAAACTGGATAGAGAAAATAGGAAGAAAACGAAAGGAAGCAACAATAAAAGAAAAGAAGAAAGAAAAAAGGAGATGTACGAAAAAAAGAAGAAAAAAGCGGGAAAAAAATACCGAAAAGAAGAAATGGAAGTAAAAAATAAATTCGGAAAAAAAAATAAGGAAACAGAAAATAAATTGGTCTTGGAATTTAAATTTAATCAGTTGTTAAAAAGAAATTCTTAAAATAGGCAGTCAAGTCGAGAATAGAATAAAATTTTCAACTCTTTCATATTCCTTCCGCAGGGAACATTAATAAACTACATTCTTTGTAAGCTAGTCTGGAGCTGCACAGTCCTCACTTGCCTTGATAGAACTGAAAACGGTCTTGTGTGTGATGAATTATTTCCCATCCTACAATCGCGTTCCCACTGACGATACGTCGCTAGTCTCTCGAGGCTCTACCGCAACTTCCATGCCATGTGTTCTGATGAGCTACATTACTTAGTCCCACCTATCCTGACCTTTACAGATGGGACCCACCATGTCACGTACGCATGGGTGATTCCTTTCGTATTCCTAAGATTGAATTTCCATTCTTACAGCTTCTTCGTAACTGCCATTACCTTGTGGAAGAAAATCCTGTCAGGATGTTTCCCCAATCATTACTATCTTGAAGTCGAAGTCTATTTTCTGTATAGCTCCATGAATTTCACTTCTTGCCTTTTCTTACGCTCATACAACATCCCATAATAACTCTCTACCTTGAGTGGCTCTTCGGCCTTGTAGGTGGTGAATATTAATAAAAAAAGAGAGAGTAAAGTGAGAATGTCTGTTCACATTGGATTACTTATGTAAGAGGCCTGGCTGAATTTGTTAAAGGGAAGTTTAAACTTAACAACATAAAATCCACAAATGACACACTGTGTTGACAGGAGACATAATGGAAAAATTAAAGAATTCCGAGATAAATGTTCAGTAAGGTTTATGTCCTGTGTGTTATCTCGACAAGGTAGGAAATTGATGTAATGGTCTGGAAAATAAATCAGTGGTTGATTCTGCAATTATGTGCCATATTCAAATATCCCTGAAACGTAAATTGTAAAATCTTGACAAACCGTCAAACATTGTCACTGAAATTTAATTAAACTTCTTTGTATATGTATATGTGCGTGTATGTGTGAGTGCGTGTGTCTCTGTGTATGTTTCTGTGTGTGAGTATCTGTTTGTGTGTATGTATGTGTGTATGTGTAGGATGTGTAATATTATGCGAAACAAAAGTAAAGTCGATGAAATAAAGTCGAAAATTTTCGATTTTGTCTCATACATACACATACGCACACACACCAAATACACACACATATATATATAAATATATATATATATATATATATATGTGTGTGTGTGTGTATATATATATATATATATATATAATATATATATATATATATGTATATGTGCGTGTGTTTGTGTGTGAGAAAAATTAATGACAACTAATTTTCTCTTATACATACATATACATATACTTATTATAAAACCCAGGTTGTGTGTGTGTGTGTGTGTGTCTGTACGTTTATATATTGGATCGGATTTCCTACATTTTTCAACCGATTTCAACAAAACTTCACAGGACTATGTAAAATTACATTGCGGTGGTCCTGACAGTGCCAAAAATTGGAAAAACACAATTGTTTTTGCATGAAATCAATTTGAAAACACGATTAAGAAGCATCGCAAGAATGAAAGAGGGACAACTCATATCAAGTTATACTTAAAAACCCAGGTTGTTTGTGTGTGTGTATTCATTTATATATGGAATCAGATTTCCTACATTTTTCAACCGATTTCAACAAAACTTCACTTTTTTCTTTTTTTTTTTTTGGCAGGTAGTGTTTCTTATTGCCTTGCACACTTTTTTCTTTATTTTTACATTCAGAATGCTTTAAAAATTCCATTTACAAGACAATTGTTTATAATAAAATTCTATTCAATCAGTAGGCTCATAACGATTGAAAACAATGTTTTTGTTTGAGTTGGGATTTGACCAATTCGTAAAAAGAAAAAAACAAAATAAAAAAATAATTATGACGTGTGTCCGTCAACCTTAAACAATAATCTTTGTCAATTTTATTTTTCAGTCTTTATGATGGTCGATACTTGATCTATCTCTTACTGTTAAATCCCCGGGCAACGCCAGGCTCTACTGCTAGTATATATATATATATGCGTGTGTGTCTGTGTGTATAGTGAGCGCGTGTCTGTGTAGAGGGAGACAGAGAAAGAGAGAGAGACAGAGGCAGAGAGAGAGAGTGTGCGTATGAAATTTTCGGTCACTCTTTCCTCATTATGAATAAACTTGTTAGGTTACTCGATGTTTCCCAATTTCTCGCTTGCTTTCCATATGTCTTATGGGTGTCAAATCCTTCACCTTTTTATGTCTTTTGTAGCTCTTAATAATTTTTGTCTCTTTCTTATATATCCTAAACTCTTTTCCAACATCCATTTACTCAAGCTAACTAGGTAGGATATACATTGTTTTCGTTGCCCATCGATGTGTATCAAAAGCATTATTTTCTCCTTATGATTCTTAGAAATTTCATTTGTCTCTATCTTATTGTAAGTATTCCCGTCTTTTTAGTTTTGATTTTATTTAAAACATCCTCGTTACTCACATATTCAGTCCTTGTTACTGTCAATATTCGTCTGAAGAATCACATTTCTCTTGCTTCAAGTCTCCTCTTCATCTGTGAGGAAGTCGTCAAGCATTTACTGCCATAAAGAGGATTGATATTGCATAATATCTCAGCAGTTTTTTGTTTGATTCTCACAAAATTATCATATTTATAGAATAGATATAATTAAGTTTTGCATATCATCAGTCAGTTATGTGCCATGCGTGATACACGCTTAGGCGATCTTGTATCTTTCGATACATGATTGACAGATTTTTTCCCGCAGTAGGTTACCATTTCTGCGATAGACCAGTTGCCATCCAAAACTATAGAACTCGGTCTGTCCTGCTATTTATCCATAGCTGGGGGGAGAAGATGGGGATTCATACCTTTCCCAAGGGTATTGGTACGTAAATGAATCTGACTGGAATTCGAACACGTCTCTCCAATTTCTTAATACGAGCCGCTATCCATTACCCCACCGTGCCTCATTGCTTATCATACAAAAGTAATTTACAATGTATATCTAGATATCGGCATAGAACATTAGATATATATAATCTCTAAAACGAAACAAGTTATTGCAAAGTTATTGAGTGATAAAAGTATATTATGGAGGATTGCGAAAAGAAATTGGATGGAAATCCGAAAAAAAAAAAAAAAACAGAAAGCAAAACATTGGCAAGGTCAGAACAAGATAAAAGGCACAAAAATAAAGATGGTAGAAAAATTTAAATCCTTATGATCAGGAAAATTGTATTGACGAAGTAGGAAATATTTGAAGGAGCTGCTATTGCGAATGTAAGATGATAAAAATAGTGTAGAACATTAGAAACATTCGCTAAAGTCATGAATGCAAATACCACAGCCTCCTTTTGAGTAAACAACACAAAGAAACGCATGAAAAATAGGCAAAGAATGGTATGAAAAACTAATTTCTCATTGGCAGTCTTTAGTTTCTAATATGGGCGCTTGAATGGGTGTTTGCAACATCAAAATTTTAAATAATGAAACTCGGATTCGAATTGCAATATGATCGATTTGTCAAAGAGGCAACTTCTTCAAAATATCGTTGAGGAATGCTTGAAACCGATTCAACAGTCTGTTCTAAGTCTGGTGAGTCGAAACATGAAGACGAAACTGTTGGCTAGCGTCGGTAGAAGTAGTTGTGCAATTAGAAAGGAATACATCATTGTAACCGAGAGTTTGACTGTATTCAAAACAAGTTATACATTCTCTCTCAGAAAATCTAAGCCCCGCTCAGTATAGCTGAATTGTAAACCAACTCTGTCTCCGTGGCTGTTGAAGAAACATAAATATACCTGAGCAGGCGTCTTCAAATGAGATTAGCTACCATAAATGTGTACTGGGAAACGAACAGCCAGTCTCTGTACAATATTTAAGTTTTGATATGAAACGACCGAGCATTGATCTAATAACTAGGCAAGGATTTAATTACTTTATTGCAATATCAACTAACGCCACTCAAAATACAATATAAGATCTTGGATTAATATTTATGACTAATATTGTTAACCGTAACTGCCTAGAGCATGTCTCCCCAATCACTACTATGTTTACCTCTTTAAGTCTAGTGGCCATCTTTATCTACACTACATATCCGCATAATCTTTTTTAACTCCACTGTTGACGTCCATAAAACCTCATTCAGTACATCTCTATCTTGAGTGACTCTTGTCTTTGGATGCAGTGAACAATTGTGTAAAAAAGAAACATGTCAAATCTCTTCTTGACAAATACTGAAAGAACCTGTAAGTTGTCTCACATGTATTTTTTAGTGGTAGAGGCCGCAATTATGAAGTTTTAACCTAAAGAGTATATTTATGCTAGACAACGCTCCTGCATACACTACAAAATTAACAATTACCCACCTTGCCAGAATCGGGTTTTAATGACACCAATTTTTTGGAATCACCCCCAACCTCTCCAACAGAAAACCTCGCATCATCATTAATAGAGATATGCATGATATTGTAACACAATACTCAAAGACGATTGGTGGGAATCAATAAAAACTGCTGCAACTAATGTTAAAGATGAAACACTGGAAAAGTTAACAAAATCAATGAGGAACAGTAGCAAAGGAATGTCAACAAGTTTGTATTAACATATGAAAAGAAAAATATATAATTTATTCAGGAATATGACATATTGAATTAATTATGTATCTGTTGCTGTGGCCTATTTATTTTAGATTTATTTATAAATAAAATTTCATGTTGTACCTTGTTTGAAAACTATGTACAACACCTCAAAACAAATCTAATAAAATGAATGTTTTTGTAATAAATTTAATTCTTTTAAAATAAAAAATATATATTTTTTAACCAATTATAGATATTACTAGCAGCCATACCCAGCTAGTAGATCAGAAAAAGCGTTCAATTAGAATGGAGCAAAAACAGCATCATGTATAAATGTAACAGAGTCTCTCTTTTTAATTACTTTAAAGTACTTTCATTAAAAAACATTTTGAATTAATGCAGTTCGAATAGAGAGAAAGAGTGACAAGGGAAAGCAACGCATGACATACCTAGCAGGCTTAAGCAAGTAAATGATAGAACACGGTCAGGGGGGGGAAGGAGCAAACGGACAAAGTTTATTGAGAGCTACCAGAGATAGGAGGAAGTGGAGAACAATGATCTCCTACGTCCTGATAGGACATGGCACATAAAAAGAAGAAAGATGGTTAAAATGTTGACCTACGTAACAACATTGGACATAGTGTAGTAATCTGAAATACAGCTTCAAGCCTGGAAAGAAATTGTCATTTGCTCTAAATTTTAATCAGCCATTTTCTTTTTATGTAAGGAATTATGTTGGTAGCAATACTGGTAATACAGGTTGATCTTTGTTTTGTTATAAATAATTACCGAGGAAGTCATTTTATATTATTTGGATGGAGAGATAGTTCAAAAACATAATAATCCTGTCTAATTCTTTTCGATTAGTTAATCGTTAATCGTTTCATGCCTATGCCAATCAAACAAGTCAATATACAAGACTGGTAACAACAACAACAAAAAAGAAGCTCTAACAAAAAAAAAAACACGATTAAAATGACTTTCAAATAATAATAATAATAATAAAGCAGACTGATTGAACAAGACGAGAACTGACCAGATCAAACTTGAATCAGCTAGAGTATAATACATCGTCTCATTAGATCCTTTAAATATATTTAATTTATCTTTCTTTCTTTCTTTCTTTCTTTCTTTCTTTCTTTCTTTCTTTTGCTTTCATTCATTCATTCTAAACCCTTTATCTCTCCCTAACTCACGCTCTCTCTCTCTCTCTCTCTCTCTCTCTCTCTCTCTCTCTCTCTGTCTATCTTTCTCTCGATGTGTGGATGGTGTAATGGATATCGCCCCGGAAGGTGTAATCGGAGACAGGAGGTCGCATGCCAGTCGAGTTCATAACATTCATCTACGTGCAAATACCCTTGGGAATTATAAGAATCCATCTCTTCCCCGCCCCAGCTATGGATTAAATAGTAGGTGAGAATTGTTGTGTAATTTATCTTTATCCACCAAATTGTTATTCATTCAAAAATAAAGTAATTATTGTTATTCAATTAAAAAAATATATTTCATCCTTACATAAACTACAAACGGGTTGATAAGCCGTAAAACAAAATCAATCTTTATCTTTTTTTCCGCTGTCTAAAACCTTTCATTTCTCACAAATAGACTTTTTTCTACATTTTTTAATTTCCTGTTTATCTTTATTTTTCCTTGTTTATTTGTTTTCTTTAATTCTCTTTCATTTCAACTTCCACAATGTGCCGTGTACCTCAGTGTGTTGCCGATGATGTTTCTCCACAGTTTCGTGTCCTTTGTAAATGTTGTCTTTTTCTATCTCCTAAAACCTCTTCTACCATCCATTTACAAAAGATCGTTAGATAGTTTATGTTCCGTTTTTCTTCTCTTGCCTTCAATATGTCCTTTGCGTGTCAAATTCTCCAAAGCCTCTTTCTACATTATCTGCCCTATAAATATCAGTGTCCTTTTTCTGATATTAATTATAAATGTCCATTTCGTTTAAAACTTCGTCGTTGTTCACATGCTCAGTCCATGTTATTCTCAGCATCTTTCTTTAGAAGAACATTTCTGTTGCTTCATCTATCTTCTTCATCTGTGGAGAGTCGTGAGTGTCTACCGATTGACATTGCATCCGTATTATCTTTATATATATTCTTCTTCAACATTCACTGATATTACGTATCATTTCCGTACTGTTTACTTTATTTTTAACGAATTTCCTAATTTTTAATGCTTTGCATTGCTTATTGAAAGCATATTTGGCTAAACCCAACCACGGTGGAGTAATGGATTGCAGCTCGGATTGAGCAATCGGAGAGCCGAGGTTGAATTCCAGTTGAATTCATTACATTCACTTGGGAAAAGTACGAATCCTCTTCTTCCCCCCCCCCAAAGGTATGGGTAAATAGCAGGACAGATCAAGTTCTATAACCTTGAATGGCAACTGGTCTACCACAGAAAGAAATGGCAAACTACTGCGAGAAAAAATATGCCTCGTCAGATGCATTTTCGCCTGGGACTTTATCAGGCATGACACATAATTGACTGACTGATGTTAAAATTAACTAATATTTTTTTAGAGAGCAAAGCATGAAATTTGTACGTGATTGCATTAAACATCCCCAGCCTGATACGTTGTTATTTTAATTTGAAATTTTCACTGTATAATGTTCGATATATGAGATCAACCACTGCAGTGAATGTATTGATACAGAGATTATCTTTAAAAAATCACCCGTTGCATAAAACAAATGATCACGAAGACATGCACTTTTTGATGTAACGCCTTACGTTTCTTTTCACTATTAATAAACATCTCATGTAGTTTCATTGATCACTGGTGGCTACGTGGTCTACAGTTCGATTTTTTGGAGGTGGGGTAAATTTGGTGTCATCTCCAATTATTCATTTTCCCCATATTTAGACGTTGTTAACGCCTTTTGGTCCGTACCTGTTTTTACCTGGCTGAATGTAACTTTACCTTTTTCCCGATTACCTAAACGGATCGCTTTCTTTGAATATAAATCATTTTATTACTAACATTTACTCTAACTTTTAGAAAGTGTCACTACAATTGATTCCAGCCACAAAAAAAGAAAGCGTAATTGATTTTTATAACACAATTGCATCGCAGATTATAGAGACAGGCTGAATTAGTGACAGAAGAAGTCAAGGGATGTTTCATTTTCTCTATTTTACCAGAAGGATTTTAACTTTTATGGACAGGATGGAACACACTCAACATGGGTATTCTATTCTACTTTTAACAAGCGAACTAAGAAACGCGTATTAGAATAATCTTATTTTTCTGCATCTTCACAGGTTTTTTGTTTTTTGTTTTTTTGTCAGATATCGATGTAGAAAGTATAAACGTAGAGCCGAGTTCAAATTACGGGTTAGTCTTTTGCGTTCACTTTCGCGCTATTGCCTCTAGGAATGGCATGAATCTATTAGATTTCCACCCTCCCACCCCATCTACAGGTTTATTAAATGAGTAGATTGGGCTCTCTAACGTTAAGCGGCAACCAATATGAGAGAAGGAAAACTGAATTCCAAATCATGGAGAAGGCAACGGAAGACCAATCTACTATAATTCCAAAGAAAACAGTAAATTAAAATATAATCCATAGGGAGTCGTCATCGCCTACCGACTGACATTGTATTAACGAAAATAATCATCATAATAACCTCATTGGTTATTGTTTTTACCTGCTGTTACTCGTTGAATAATGTAACATCTTTGCCCTGATCATCCTCATCGGGATCTAGTGTTGTCAGTCCTGGGTAAGCTGATAAGCTTCGTTCAACAATAAGGCCTCTGATCAGGAGGTTTTGAGGAGCGTGGAACCACTTCCTAATTGCTGGTGTTCTCATGTCCAACCTGACCGAAGTGGTAGCACCTGTAAGGATCTCAACTATGGGCAAATAGTTAACCCCCAACTGGCGTTAAAACACCATGAAAGTGTAAAAATAGCAATAATTTTTTTGAGGAAAAATCATTAACAGTCATACATTATTACCAACAATACATTTTTGAAGAAAAACATATTACCAGAAATACACTATAAAGAAAAAATATTACCCCAGCAATGCATTTTTGAAGAAAAAATATTATCAGCAATACATTTTTGGAAAAAATATTACCAGCAATAAAAATCTTGTCGGCATTAAATAACTAATTGAGGTTGATATGCCGTAAAATAAAACAAACCAAACCAAAACCTCGTGTTGTCATATGCTCGAATTGCTGCTGAGAAACTGAGAAATTCCATCTATGTATCTGAGTTGATTGCAAAAGACGTATTCATTCATTCGTGGTGAGTAGGCCTGGCGAAGCCCATCCATCCCCAAATCAAACTACAGCCGATATCCTTCAACTTGAAAGCTCACCTTGGCCACAGACATATTACCTTTGACTACACTAGGGAAACTCCCACTCAGCGATGTCGCTTCCACACCGCACTGGTTGCATACATAGTCATAGAACCCAGTTTACCTTATAAGTGTTAGATTACCGTTGACTATACAAGAGGTTTTATCTGTGATTTTACAGGTCTAGCTACCCTCCTCACTAAGAAAGCTAGGTACTGTCAGGTAGAATTACGTTATGATGTACTAGGAGTGGCCCGACATATATAATTATCAACATATAATTACAAACATCGAATTGAAATATCGTCAGTTCTTTGACGCTAAAAATATCAAATACTTTGTTTTTTGTACGTTTCTCATCTTTTGGGGATGTGAATTTTTGATAATGATGTTATCGTTGTAAAAGTATTATTAAGAACACAAAATCATACTTTATTCAATTCTGGATTTCATCAATTACTGTTGGCTTTGGGGTATTTTCCGAACGTGGATTCTACATTCTCACGAAGTTGCAAGAAACTTTTTCCTCTTTCCACTTTGGTGGGTGCTTATATATCTTCCTGTAATACGGTTTGTCTCACGAGTGCACATCCAAGTCACAGCTGGAGTGACCACTATGTTATATGTCGAGGGCAAACCACATATATCCATTGAAGATGCAATCAGCACCTGGTAACTGACAGATTATATTTCAAGCCTACCTACTGATGTAATCTTCTCTGAAGCTCTGGTCTAATACTGTGCAAAGTCTATTTTCTTATCATCTGAGTTGAATAGCACACTACTGCTTCAAAACCGCTGAAATCTCTACCACACTCTTCAATATTCATACCGACTTCGACCGTATCTTCGCTTGAATTTTCTCGGCTTTTTCTAAATTTTTCAAATCATTTGTGATTCTTCTTGGTGCCCCAATATCAATGGTTATAACCAGGAACTTCATATTTTATAATTTTTTCTGATTTTTATCATTCTCCTGAAATTTCATGTTCACTTTTGGGTCATATTCTGATAATTATTACTTTTGTCACTGAAATTTTACACAAACTGCGATTGGTAGACTTCACTGGAAACAAGTGACAGCAATTCTCCTCACTTCTACAAGAATTTTCATATTATTGGTGATTTTGAATGATCTGTCGTTCAGATGGCCTCTATCCTTTCCTGGACCTCAAATTTCCCCAGACTCTTGGCTAAGTTTATGCGTAGCATTACTATTGCTCCAATCACGATTAGCACTAATGTTTGACACATTCTCTTCTTGTTCAGCACCATCAGATTATGGTTTTAATAATAATAATAATAATATTAATAATAATAGTAATAATAATAATAATAATAATAATAATAATAATAATGGAAAGCTTTATTTTTGCAGCGCAAGACCAGAGTCTTTCCACTTATAAATTTCAGGCAAATGTCATAGATGACAGCGTGGGTCCAAAATGCAGGTTCTGTGATAAATGTCAGGAAACCATCGACCTGATAGAATCTAATCCCAGGATGTTCTGTACTTGATTATAGAGTGGGACAACATTTACACTGGACAATGTGCAAACACTTTGGAAACTATGTTAACAAACACTGGTATGAACATCACCCAGCACCGGTTAAAGAAATAGAAGACATCACTATTCTGTGAGATTACACCATCTTTACAGACAGGAAGATTAAAGCAAATAGGCCGGATATAATTCTCAAAAAACGAAAAAAAATATCTTGCCTACTAATTAATATGACTTGCCCAGAGAATTGTAACATAGCAACCAACGAATTTGAATAAAAACCTGGGAATCGAAACAGAAAAAATGTGGAAATTGAAAACAAGAATAGTACCAGTCATGGTAGGTGCGCTTGGAATGGTAAAAAAGGAAAATAACAGCACATTGAAAGAAATCCCTTGAAATCCCAGCTTACCAACACACCACTACATGCCGTTGGTCTTCCCACAGACTTGGCAAGTAGTGTGACCATAACAGAAATCGAAATAATAATAATAATAATAATAATAATAATAATGTTGTTAATGTTAACATCTGTTGAATAACAAGTAATAATTTTGATTTGCTTAAAGAATCAATGAGTTGGAAGGAAAGAGTAGACCCTTTTAAGCAGAAGAAACGTATAAGATCATACGGTGAAGATGACAAAAGAAACACAAACTGTATAAATACAAAAAAAACTGCGAAATATCTGTAATAGAAATATGTCATGGCATTAATAACTATTAACTCATCAAGAATGTTCAAGAAATCTCATAAACATCACCATCTCGACTGATAAACACATCTCAGTAAAAGAATTTGACAAAATTTCAAAATATGATGACCTGGAAATAAAAATTGCTTGAATTTGACAATCAACATTCCAGAAATTATAAGATCATTAGATATGATTTAACAGAATAATGATAGTGTTTGTTTAAAAATTCCAGGAAATTCATCTGAATCTGAGATTCAACATATTGTGCACAGTAACCCTCTCCCCCATGCAATATGCTCAAAAACGTTCTAAGAAAAACCATTTTTTGAATCCGGTCTCAAATAAAAGACTTGCTAAAGAATTTTGTCAAATCAAAATAATCGGTAAAACTGGAAATAATAATAATAATAATAATAATAATAATAATAATAATAATAATGATTGTCATTATTATTATTATTATTATTATTATTATTATTATTATTATTATTTATATGTTCCCAGCAAGTGTTTGGTGATTGATGCTGAGAACTGTATTTGAGCATGATTCTTCAAATCTATAACACCTGTCACATTATTTGCAAAGATCCCAGCGTCGTTGCAATTAGCATTATTTCATGTTCCTAAATTTTCTTCTCAATCAAATCTCAATTCTGGTATCTTATACAAAGATTCGAGTACACCAATAATTATAGCCACAACCGTTATTGCATTTTCCTACCGTTTTAGATTCATTGACAGTAAATCTTAACAAATCCTTAAAAATTTTTTCAGTATTCTCATAATCCCCAGAACCGTCGCATTATTAATAGTAGTAGAAGTAATAGTAGTAGTAGTAGTAGTAGTAGTAGTAGTAGTAGTAGTGGTGGTGGTACTGGTTATCATTAGTTTCACCGTTCGTATCGAACTTATCAGACTTAGATATAGATTATCTATCAGCGACTTGATGGCGTCTTCAGATACTTCCGTCTGTTCTACTTTTGTTAAGTAAATCAACCTTAAACGCTAACATACGATGTTGTAGGATTTAGATCTCCAGAAAGCAGACATGTTGATATTTCAAAATTAAAACAACTGCGCTGATCTTGACATGTTGAAAAGGCTATAGGACAATAGACTCCTAAATCTCTCCTCTTATGAAGAAGTCACTTTGAAAATGCATTCACAAAAAGGATAGGAGAAGACGTTAATATGTTCAGTTCGTACTGTTTAAATTCTCAAAGAAATATAAGAAACTGTACTTGAGTAATGATCAATAGTATTACGTTAAAGCGGCCATAAACAAGCAAGAGCATTTTTATTAAATCTATGAAAAAAAACACCAAGTCTTGAGCTAAAAGTAGACCCAGGGGACACATTCTTAAGACATAATAAAGTCGACTTTCCATTCACAGTTTAAATAGCTATCTAACGCCCTACATTACCTACATTATATATAATTATCTTTTTATCTAGGAAGCGTTGTC